CATGGTTTTATGTTTACGCGGCGCGATGCAACACAACGTGTAAAAAGACAGTATAAGTCATTATAATCAGTAATTATGTCTCCACTGGATGCAACAAATGGCTCGTTTATAATGGGTTTTCATGTTTATGTCTCGTCGCTCCGGACGGACAGGGCAGCACAGTATGGTGAGGGGTGTAACATTTCCGTCACACGCTTGAGGTATTCGGCCAATCACAACGCACTGGATAGCCGGCCAATCACAGCACACCTCGCTTTTCAGAACGATGAGCTTTGTAAAAATCTATGCGTTTCAGAAAGGCGGGGCATAGAGGAGAAACAATAATGTACAGTATGTGGAAAATAATGTGTTTTGTTAACCTTAAACCGCATATTTCATTTCATTACACCAAATACACAAAATAATGTTATTTTTAGCAACATCATATGACCCCTTTAATATCATTACACTTTATTTGCTCTGTTTTATTTTGTGAAACCTTACTACGTATATGGAATAACCATTTTATAAAAGCAATAAGCCCCGTGAAGCCGTGGTTTACAGTGAATTTATAACAGTTAAGGGGGTTTTAGACTCCGCTTCACGTTGTACCTAACTACGTCCCTTAGCTGTTATAAATTCACTATAAACCACAGCTTCTTGGGGCTTATTGCTTTGTTTTAAGCCATTGAAATGCAATCAGCATTGAAAGGGAACTAATTTGGCTATATGTGCGCGCACAAGAAGACAGTGCTCATAGAGCGCGGGAGGACTGAACGGAGTTATTTTTGCCAATTTATAGGCCTTCAACAGTTAAATTCACACACTTGTATGTGACAAAATGCCATCTTTTCAAGTATCCTCGTAAACAGTAATTTAGCAAACAGATGAGAAAGAAAACATGTGTAACAGTATGTTGGTTCCGGGCAGCTCTTAAAGTGACAGCAGTCATTCATGTTAATCAAACAACAAGAGAGAGAAAATCTCTCACTTCTCTTGACTAAATCACTTTTGTAACTTTTATAAGAAGAAATATATATTTAATTCACACCGTGAAGAATATGCAGTGTTTTTTATACATTTGATTACTTTATGCAATGTATGATCATGTCCTGTGTGTCTGAAATTTGTGATAATCACATATATAAAGTTTCAATAATCATTCTAATTCTATGATCTTAGGAAGTCTTAAACGGAGTTATTTCATTTTTCAGTTTGGATTATGTAATGCCATTTCTTGTTTTCTGTTACAACTAAATCCTGTGGTGAAACACTGTTTTAACAGATTTATGAAACTGGCCTCGCGTTCAGGTCTTCATTGAATAGAAAATACTACTTGTTCCTGTCACTGTCTTAAATCAAACATCTTTTCATAAAGAGCAGGTCAACAGTTCACTTATTTTATGTTGATTTATAAATGCCTAATCAGAAAAGTATTATGTTGATAAATAGATATTTGTGACTCTGCAGCACAAAAGCAGTGTTAAGTCGCTGGGGCATATTTTTAGCAATAGACAAAAAAAAACATTGTATGGGTCAAAATGATCGATTTTTATTTTATGCCAAAAATCATTAGGATATTAAGTAAAGATCATGTTCCATGAAGATATTTTGTAAATTTCCTACCGTAAATATATAAAAACTTAATTTGTGATTAGTAATATGCAACTTAATTTGGACAACTTTAAAGATAATTTTCTCAATATTTAGATTTTTTTGCACCTCAGATTCCAGACTTTCAAATAGCTGTATCTCGGCCAAATATTGTCGAAAAATGGACCCTTATGACTGCTTTTGTGGCCCAGGGTCACATATTATTAGCACCAAAGCTCTACTTCATAGACTCGTCTGTTATGCAGAACCACATATTTTGTGGGTTGTGTGAATGCTGCAAGATGTTAATATTGGAGCTTAAATGAATATATGCTGCTTATACATATAACATCCGACAGGGACAGAGACGTGTTTCAAATAAGCGCTCTGAAATGACATCATCACATGGTGCAGAGATTCACTGTAGAATAAGAGGAGGAGTGCGTATGAGAAACTTACAACAGTCTCCTCCAGGCGCTTGAGATCCTGTTTGGACTGCTTGTTTCTCTCCTGCTGAAACCTGATGAGAAACCATTGTTAACACACACCACACACATTCATTACACACTATAGCTTCCCTTTACACTCATCACACCATCATGCAAATGGCTGATTTACAATCTCAGTGTATTTATGCAGTAGTGTAAGAAAACGTACGACAGCTGCTCCAGGCAGGCGCTCTTGGTGTCGTCCTGCCGTTTGAGGTTACTGAGACTGGACCGCACGTGAGCCAGCTCCAGCTCCAGAGCCTGATTCTTACTGCAAGACAGGTGGTGACAGCATTAGCGCCTTAGTTACCACATCCAGTGATCATGCTAGGCTTTCACTCTCATCTACACAGGAGGACTGACTCGGTAAGCTCGTCGATGAGTCGCTGCTTCTCGTTGATTTCATCCCGCAGGTGGCTGAGCTGCGTCTGACGAGACTCCGCGTGGAGAGATGGACGACTAGAGCCCTTCTACACAAACACACACAAATAAACACCTGCACTGACTCGTGTCACAATAAACGTGTCATATTTGACCTAACCCATGACCCCATCATGTACACCATCTCTCTTGTCATAACGCATGTATGCATGTGTTTCTTACACTAATCACAGGACTGTTTATGTATTAAATACTAGAGCCATGTTTGTTCGACTTACTTTCCCATCAGCCTCTCTGTCAGCCTTCTCTCCTCCATCCACTTCTGCCACGTGACTCTCTGATATAAACACATATACATAATGATTAATATAGCAGTACAGTGTAGAGCAGCAGCCCAGAAGTGAGCTCAACCTCAATCTTACGTTATCAGTTCATCTGACAATCTAGAGGGGTTTTGGGGAATTTGAATGTCCAATATAGCAAACCTGTAAGACCAATCATTTAGAAAAGATACAGCATGCTAAGTCTGCACAGATCTTCAGACAGTTCTGAGTTTGAATATAGCTTGAAATTGGTGCAATTATTAATTTAGAAGCAGTCTTAAAGGTGCAGCATGTAAATAAAATAAAAAGGCACATAATAACACCTACAAACTCTCAAGAACCAAAATGCATCTAAACTGTAGCTCTTTGGAAGTTTGGAAGTCTATGGTCTGTTTGAAAATCCACTAAAGGAAAAAAAATCCTGAGGAACCTGAGTCAGAACAGCCTCGCATAAAATGAGTTAGAGTTGAAAAAATGTCATAATAATGATCATCATTTTAAAAGAATAATATTTAAAGGGGTCACAGGATGACCATTTTCCACAAGTTGATATGATTCTTTGGGGTCTTAATGAAAAGTCTGTACCATTGAGAAATTTTAACCAACCTATTTTAGTGTAAAAAAATTCAGTTTTTACCCTGTCAAAAACAGCTCTTTTCAGATCAAGCCGTTTTTGTAGCATTTTCCTTTAAATGTTAATGAGCTCTGCTGACCCCGCCCCTCTCTTCCGAGCTGCTCTCAGAGAGACTGTTTACTTTAGTCGCATTCATCATGAAACTTGCTAATTAGCACATTATTAGGAAAGGCAATTTGCAAAGATTCATTACAAGGTCATACTTGGAAGGGAGAGATTATGTGAGTATAGGAGAGCAGAAGTCTAAGTGGACGTCCATGACATGTGGAGTCCCACAAAGCTCAATTCTTGCACCGCTCTTGTTTAGCCTGTACATGCTCCCACTAAGTCAAATAATGAGAAAGGAATCAGCTTCCAGAAGAGATCAGATGTGCTAAAACATTAGTCACATTTAGATGCAGACTCAAAACTCATCTGTTTAGCTGTGCATTTATTGAATGAGCACTGTGCAATGTCCGAACTGACTGCACAATTTTTTATGTATAATCGTTTTCTATTCTTAACTGTTTTAAATTCATTTTAAACCTCTTAAATCATTTTTTTAAATCATTTTCAAAGTTTTTAAATTCCTTGTTTTATTGTTGTGATTATTTTTTTTTCTTTTCTTTTATGTAAAGCATTTTGAATTACCATTGTGTATGAAATGTGCTATATAAATAAACTTGCCTTGCCTACAAAACATTACACTCACTTCTTCTGTAGGTGAAGCTGGATCATGAATACTGAATCATGAATTCGCGCGAACATAGATGCATTTATGTAGATCGGAGTGCATTTCCTTTCAGAAACAATGTAATCCACTACGAGTTCAGCGGCTCAGATGTCGGGAGTAAATGAGTACTGCTATGTTCATTATTACATCCAACAACAGAACACCTCAATCACTTAGGAGTCATTCTTGGCTACATCTGCTCCGGCGGTGAAACAATGGCGGACTGATGACAGCTCACTCAGGGCGGAGCTAAGGTAAGACACCAGTCCAGTCTGTGCTGAAACGCTACTGTCAATTAAACTATCGTGGGAGTGGCCTGTTTTTGTGAAATCACACAGACAGGCATCTGAGATCGGCTTATCAGATAAAAAAAAACATTGGGTGGATTTGTATCATTATAGGGTGGTTGTGTACACACACTGCCAACACACATTTCAGTTCAAACAACTTGTAAAAGTGCATGTAGCATCCTATGACCCCTTTAATGAGTCTTATGATCAGGCTTTATATCACTCCTGTCCTCTCTATAAGGTGTGTAACTCTGTGTTTGTGTCTCACCTGAGTTCTGCAGCATGAAGAATTCTTCACTGAGAGCATCATAATTATCCTCCAGCTCCACCGCACCCCGATCCTTCAAGGCTGGATGAATGGTTTCTCGGTGGGGGGTTGCGTTGGTTCTCAGCACCCCCCTCCGGTGCATTCTTCCCGGTGCATGAGGAGCTCACAAGATCGTGGAAGGCACCTTTTACTGCCTGAAACAAATCTTGTAGCTCCTCCGCCCTCACCACCCTCGATGGTGGGGCCGCGTTGGGGGTACATGGGAATTCCCTCGGTGGAGCGGTCTGTGGTCATGCAACTATGTCCAACTGCTGCTACCACTGTCTACCGCACAGGGACCCAGCCCGGGGACATTGCATGACTCTCTGGGTCATGCAATGTCCACGCTAGTGGTCCAGGAGCGCTATCTCTGGCTGTGTCTGTCCGACATGAAGGAGCATGATAAGGTACAGTTCCTGAATGCTCCCGTGCCACAGAACGGTGTTTTCCCTCCTGTGCTGTCAAGAGCTTTGCCCAGCAGGTCTTGGCGGCACAGAAGCAGACTGAGGTGATCAAACACAACCTGCTGTTTCCACCCACGCAGCAGCCTTCCACTAGGCAACATTGTGGAGCCGGTTGCAGGCAGGATGCCCAGCCCATCCAGGCCCCCGCCAAACCTGTGCAAGAGGCCCTGAGAGGAGGAGGAGGGCCAGGTGGAGAATCTTTTGTTTCATTATGTTTTTGTTCCGCCGCTGGCCCAGCAGCCAGCAGTACCCAAAACTTCAATAAAAGAGCAGTTTCCTTGGTCTCTGGGTCTCAAGAGGAGGAGAGTGGTGAACCGTGCATCATGGGATCACTTCCCTCCACCTCTCTCGCCAGCGGGCAGCAGTGGGTTGCCCAAGAGCACCCCTCCTGCCCATGCGTGGAACCAGGTAAGCGCTGTAGCACTAGAGTCCCCGCTTCATGTCATCACACGACAAGCTGTCACAAGCCTCAAGCAGGGCTCCTGCGTTTTCTTCCGCACGAGGAGGAATCAGGTGAGTGTTACACTTCACACCCAGACTCTGCCCTCTGCTGTCACAGGCCAGGTCGTCACAGGCCCCGGGCTGGGTCCCTGTGTTCTACCACGCTACCCCACTGCGGATACGTCGGTGGTTCCGTTGGTTCCACTGGCACGGTCTCTTGGAACCTGGTTAGTGCTTCCCAGTCCGTCTCGGTAGCTCTTGTGGACCATTAGACTCGGCTATGCGATTCAGTTTGCCAGGCGACCCCCCAAGTTCAGAGGCATCCGGTTCACATCAGTCCTGCCCGTCGGGCTGTCCCTGTTGCCTCACGTTTTCTCTAAAGTCATGGAGGCAGCCCTTGTTTCTTTGAGAGAATGGGGGGTGCGCATCCTCAACTATCTCGACGACTGGCTCATACTTGCACAGTCTTGCGATCAGTTGTGTGCACACAGGGACCTGGTGCTCAGACACCTGAGCCAGTTGGGTCTTCGGGTGAACTGGGAAAAGAGCAAACTCGTGTCAACGCAGAGGATCTCTTTTCTCGGCATGGAGCTGGATTCGGTCAGCCAGACAGCACGCCTCACCCAGGAACGTGCTCAGTTGGTGCAGAACTGCCTCAAGTCTTTATCAGGCAGGACGGCGGTCCCACTGAAATTATTTCAAAGGCTCCTGGGGCTTATGGCTGCAGCTGCGGTGGTAGTTCCGCTCTGTCTGCTCCATATGAGACCGCTTCAGCACTGGCTCCATGGCCGAGTCCCGAGGTGGGCGTGGCGACGCGGTACTCACCGGGGTTCAGATTACACCAGCCTGCCGCAGAGCCTTCAGCCCGTGGTCAGATTCCTCATTCCTTCTGGCAGGAGTGCCCGTGGAACAGGTATCCAGGCATGCTGTGGTATTCACAGATGCCTCGGCCACCGGCTGGGGGGCCACGTACAACGGGCACACAGTGTCAGGGGTTTGGACGGGTCCCCAACTGCGTTGGCATATCAACTGCCTCGAGTTGCTGGCAGTACGCCTTGCCCTGAGCCCCCTCAGAGGGCGCCTTCAGGGCAGGGACGCTCTGGTCCGCAGGGACAACACTGCAACTGTTGCGTATATCAACCGGCAAGGCGGTTTATGCTCCTGTTGCATGTCGCAACTTGCCCGCCACCTACTCCTTTGGAGTCAGAAGCATCTGAGGTCCCTTCGTGCCATCCACATCCCAGGAGTGTTCAATCGGGCAGCTGATGAGCTGTCTCGAGCAGCACTTCCAGGGGAGTGGAGACTCCACCCCCAGGCGGTTCAGCTGATCTGGAGACAGTTCGGAGTTGCTCAGGTAGACCTGTTTGCATCTCCAGAAGCCACCCACTGGCAGTGGTTCTACTCCCTAACCGAGGCAACGCTCGGCACAGATGCACTGGCACACAGCTTCCCCCCAGTGAGCCTGCTCGCACAGACACTGTGCAAGATCAGGGAGGACGAGGAGCAGGTCTTGTTAGTGGCTCCATATTGGCCCAACAGGACCTGGATCCCAGAACTCATGCTCCTCGTGACAGCCCCTCCCTGGCCAATTCCTCTGAAAAAGGATCTGCTTTCTCAGAGACGGGGCACCCTCTGGCACCCGCGTCTAGACCTGTGGAAACTCCATGTGTGGTCCCTGGACGGGATGCGGAGGATCATCCTGGGCGCTGGCTCGTGGTGCCTTGCTAGCAGACATTTGTAGAGCTGCGGGCTGGGCGACTCCTAACACGTTCGCTGGGTTCTATAGCCCGGTTTCCTCCTGTGTTCTCACCTCAAACGTGTAGTGACAATGAGAGGCCCAGTTCAGAGTTGGCTTGCGGCGTCCCGAACGCCTTGTTTTCCAGAGTCTCCCCTGACTGGGCAGACCCTGTCGAGTCCTCCAGCACTCCGGCGGCCAGACATGGCGGAGCATCCGGCGCCAGACCTTTCAGCCAACAAATTCCTGAAATCTGGTGTGAGGCTAGTGCCCATATGAGTGACCCGGTTGGGATCCGTTAGTGGCTCCATATTGGCCCAACAGGACCTGGATCCCAGAACTCATGCTCCTCGTGACAGCCCCTCCCTGGCCAATTCCTCTGAAAAAGGATCTGCTTTCTCAGAGACGGGGCACCCTCTGGCACCCGCGTCTAGACCTGTGGAAACTCCATGTGTGGTCCCTGGACGGGATGCGGAGGATCATCCTGGGCGCTGGCTCGTGGTGCCTTGCTAGCAGACATTTGTAGAGCTGCGGGCTGGGCGACTCCTAACACGTTCGCTGGGTTCTATAGCCCGGTTTCCTCCTGTGTTCTCACCTCAAACGTGTAGTGACACTGAGAGGCCCAGTTCAGAGTTGGCTTGCGGCGTCCCGAACGCCTTGTTTTCCAGAGTCTCCCCTGACTGGGCAGACCCTGTCGAGTCCTCCAGCACTCCGGCGGCCAGACCTTTCAGCCAACAAATTCCTGAAATCTGGTGTGAGGCTAGTGCCCATATGAGTGACCCGGTTGGGATCCCATATGTGTATTTCCACGGTACAGTTACTAGGGCCGTGTTTCCCCTGGCAGACCACGTTCTGCCGTCTCTAAATGATGCAGCCATATGCCATCTCAGAGACTTCCATGTGCAGTAGGGCCCTTCGAGGTTACTCCACATGAGTAAATGTCACTTAACCCCCCCTCTCAGAGGAGGTGACTCCGCAGTGTGTCCTCTTCCAAATGGAAGAGCACGCTTTCCCAGTGTTATCCAAGTCCTACTGTTGGGTTGCGAGGAACAGCTGTAGTCGACCTTCTCTGTGTAGAGCCCGGTCCTATTGTCTGCCTAATAGGAAGGATCAGGAGACCTACACAGGGTACTGGAGGGGTCAGCACCTGTGGCGTGTTGGTAGGGATCCCAATTCGTCGGTCATCACCAACGTGACGTCGAGAGTGACCGACTGAAAGGGAACATCTCGGTTACGTATGTAACCTTTGTTCCCTGAAGGAGGGAACGGAGATGTCACGTCCCGTCGCCACAGTTGCTGTACCACCTCTGAGCTGCCGGGTCACCGGCTCGGCTCTTCAGCAAAATCATGAATTAATGCGATGCACCTGCTGCCTTTAATACCCGCCTATATAGATTTTATGAAAAATATTACAATTACAAATGAATGTAAATTACTTATTTTATCAAGGGAATGGATGCATGTTGCTTTATGCTATGGTAAGTTGTTTAGTTTTAGATATTTAAAGGAAATGTTTTGCTACAAGCTGAATGTTTTAAATCTAAAGATAATATGAAAAGAAAATATGTTTAGAAGCAACTAATTTAAATATTGAGATGAACCATTATTAATTAATTGATTCTATTTCTAGCCCTTATTTAAACATATGTTGCAACACATATTCCACATACTTCTACAATGTACTGTTATTACTATCCATGTGGGGATATTTGGTCCCCATAACGTATTGAATACCTGATCACTCACTCACTCACTCACTCACTCACTCACTCACACACACCTGAGAGATGAGCAGCTGGCAGGAGGACAGCTCTCGGCTGGTTTCCTCCATCTTGCGATGGCACTCCAGTTGCAAGTTCTCCAGCTGTCTGCAGCGCTTCACCATCGACTTCACCTCCGACTTGATCTTACTGATGTACAGCCGCGCCACAGTGAACTCCTCCTCGATCGCACCGCTGATCTCCACTGGCTACACATACACGCACAGATTACTGCAGTGAATAAACACACACAACTGCAACTACAGGAAACCGATTTACCATAATGTGCAAAAGAAATGAAGGCAGATCAAGGTGCCTTCAATAATAATACAAAATAATAACAAAAGCAAAAAAGCAAAGAGAAAAGCCCTGCCGTTGTCTCTAGTTTCCTATATTAAACAGAACTCTGCTCCTGATTGGTCGATACAGTGTTCCAGCTGTGTGAAAACACACCATATACTAACAGCTGAGACGTGACATACCTGTTCACAAGCTACTGTGTACGTCAGGGGCTCTGATATATTGTGAATACAGTAGGGCCCAATGATTTCCACAATGTGGAATCCAGTCATAAAATGAATTTACTGTATAACACAGAATTTACTTTATGATGTGTGATATTTTAAAGAACATCTCACAATTTTTCTTCCATGTTTTAATTTTGATAGTAAACCTCTGTTGTGCAGTTCACCTTATCAAAAAATAAAATGGTTACATTTTCATTTAATTACATTTTAAAAGATTCAGTTGTTAATGTTTTATGACTTAATTTGATTCCCACTTCTTTTTGAGAATGAATGTGTATTAAACCATAAATCCAGAAAAATTAAAACAGACAAAACAGAATTTCATGAATGAATGAATGAATAAACTTGTAGGGCTCTATTTTTTAACCTTTAATAAATTTATGTTAAATTTGTTTCATAATTTCAGTTAATTAGAGATGCTTTTTGCTCAAATTTAATATAACCATTAAAACAGAATTTCGAAAAATTAAGAAAACAGAAACAAGAAAAATTCAAATGCAAAAACAAAAAAACAAAACAGAATTTGGGAAAAAATAAAAAAGATTTAAAAGGGCCCTAAAGCAGCAGCTTTTCTGTGTGTCAAGCTGTCAGGACTACATTTATAATATGGCACAACCTTTTTTAATCTCTACAAATAATCTCCGAGGCCTTTCTGGGCTTACAAGCTTGATTTCTCCATTGCCGACGATGGCGCTGAACTCGCTGAGGTCCTTCATCAGCCCGTTCAACACGTCAGCGATGCGCTTCCTCTGGTGCGAGCTCACTTCCTGCATTTGAGCAAGCTCCGCCTCCAGCTCCATCAGATTGGCCTATAAAGCAGTGGAAGCGGCGGTAAGCACAGGTCAGTCCTTCACTGCCTCTATCACTGTGTAGCGTGAGAATACGTCACCATCTTCAGGCTGAGCTGCTCGGCCAGCTGTTTGTTGTGCAGGCTCTTCTCCTCCACCTCCTGACTCTTCTGGTCGTAGTTGACCGCCAGCTCCTCCAGCGCCTGCAGGACCTCCCGCACTTCAGCTTTGGCGCTCTCGCTCTCCATCTGCAGGCGGCCCAGCTCCGTCTGCACCTTATCACTGTCTCCACGCGTGGACGCCAGCAACTGCAACGAGATGACGCTCATTAATACGAGCTGCCAAAAGCTCTTCATAATCAGATCACATTTTAGGCCTTTACGAAACAGCTGATCTGCTGGTTTAATGACTATAACTGTAATTATGTCCAGTGGTGGACAGTAGCAGTTGGTTAGTGTATATTTTCTGTACTTTAATAAAGCGGGGACACTTTTACTTCGCTACATTACCAAGCATAATATCCCATTTTTACCACATTAGGAAAATATCAAGAAAATGTCTGATTTATTTATTTATTATTTGTATTATTTATTTGTGAAATAAACTGATCTGATTGCAGCTGTCAAATTCAGACGGTCATATTTAGACTGTCAATTATTTGTGAATTAAACTAAACTAAAATATAAAAGATTTAAAACATTGGAATATTTTATGGTTTTTCTGTGTTAGTTTTATTATTATGGATTTATTATGATTTTATGTTACTTTTATTTCTTATTTACTATATGGTGTGATTTGTTGTTGTTTTGACTAACTGCAAACAGTTGAATTATCAGTAAATATATAATATTTCAATTTTCATCCCTGTTGTCTGCATCTAATCTTCATTATCTGTCTGATGAAGAGCATGCAGCTCAAATGAAATTATTCGGGAGCATTACAACAGTGTGTTGACTTATCTTCTATGTTTTGTAGGTTGAGCACCTGTATTTAAACTATTTTTGAGTAAATCATATATTAACAATTCTCATATCACGGCCACTACAGCACAATGAATGTGACCTCTGACCTCATCCTGATCCAGTATCTGCTCCTTCAGCTTCTCCGCCAGCTGACACTGAAGATTGATCTCATCATCCTACAAAACACACACACACACAGTGAGAGCAATAAATCATGTTGATCTTGTTCTGTATGCAATCCATGATGCACAGTGAGAGTTCATTAGTGTCTGCATCTCAGTAATGATGTGACGTGTGCATGTTCACCTTATCGTCCAGCTGTCGGTAGAGCTTGCGGATCTCTTCCTCATATTTCTGCCGCTCTTCCTCTGAGATCCGCACCACAATAGAGGAGGAGTCAGAGTCTCTCTCTCTCTCCCGCTGGCGCTCGGATGATCTCTCATTATCTAGAGACGCTTCGTCACTGCCCTCCAGCTTCACCACATCAGCGTCTGCCTGCTCCGTCTCTGGAACCTTCTCTCCTATGAGAAAATAACATCACGACTGCATCATGTCAGGGAATCATCAACATGCTTACAAATGTTTACCAAAATTCCCCACCTAAACCGGATAAGACAAGCAAACAACCTTAAGCTGGTTTAAGCTAAATAACATCAATTTCAAAATACTGACGTCTACTGTAGCTTGCAATCAACTATCACATGTTGCACATCACGTCAAACTTATAAAGCACTATATAAATAAAACGGGCTTGACTCGTCAGAGCAGTGCAAAGGCTCACCACTGCGCCAGCGCCGCAGCTCCAGCTCCAGGCTCTGGATGGTGTCCCTCAAGCTCTTGTTCTTCTCCTTCTCTTTCTCGTACTTCCTCTTCCACTGCTCAGCTGTCAGCTCCAGGTTAATGGAGGCCGTGTTCTTGATGGTCTTAGCACTACAGCACACACTCAAAAATCAACTCGCCATTGAAATTCCTTTTATACATTTAGTATGAATACAAATGCACAGATGCTATAGTTTAATAACAACTATTACTCCTTTAATACATGTCTACATAAATAATATAATAAAGTTCCATATGTATATCCCACATTTCTACGACAACACCATGGTTTAGTTAGTGTTACTGCAGTAAATCCAAGGTAAATCCATGGAAAAGTGTTTCTGCTGTTTGTTAGTGCTGTTGAGAACGTCAGCGCCGTTTCATCTGGCTTTAAACTAAATCACCGACACATGTGTGTTCTTCGCTGGATCTCACAGTGCAGTTTGCGCGATCGAGAGCGAGTAAACGCATCTGCTTGCCCCGCGCTGCTGTTGAGCCAAGCTGGGCTGCGTTTCCCAAAAGCTTCGTAAGCCTAAGAAGTTCGTAAAAACTATCGTACAACTGATCTTAATATTACGGTCCGTTTCCCAAAAACATTGTAACTTAAAGGGATAGTTCACCCAAAAATGAAGATGTGATGTTTATCTGCTCACCCCCGGGGCATCCGAGATGTAGGTGACTTTGTTTCTTCAGTAGAACGCAAATGATGATTTTTAACTCAAACCGTTGCAGTCTGTCAGTCATATAATGTAAGTGGATGGGAATCACGGCTTTGAGAGTCAAAAAAACATACACAGACAAAACCAAATTTAACCCTGTGACTCGTGACGATACAATGGTGTGTAAATCAGTCTGTGCAAGAAACTGAACAGTATTTATATCGTTTTTTACCTCTGCAATGTCTGAACTGTTCGAACTGTCCTGGCGTCTTCTTCTTCTTGCTTTACGGCGGATCGCAGACTTATAAGTGCATTACCGCCACCTATCTCTCAAATGGACCATTGACACTCCTAATTGAGATTGTAGATAGATATAAATACTGTTCAGTTTCTTGCACAGACCGATCGTTTTGTGTCTTTACACGTCAATGTATCATCACGAGCCGCAGGGTTTAATTTGGTTTTGTTTGTGTATGTTTGTTTTACTCTCAAAGCCGTGATTCCCATCCACTTACATTATATGACTGACAGACTGCAACGGTTTGAGTTAAAAATCATCATTTGTGTTCTACTGAAGAAACAAAATCACCTACATCTCGGATGCCCTGGGGGTAAGCAGATAAACATCACATCTTCATTTTTGGGTGAACTATCCCTTTAAGAAGCTGTCAGATTCATACTCAATAGCAATTGGTCTTTATTTAGGACTAGGCAGTGCTTAAATGTATTAACTGTATGTCCACGAGTGTAACGCAAATCTTAAAAGGGTATTTTCGAAAAACAGTATTTGCATGATAATATTAGTGAAATAAAAGGCCACTTAAGTGACCCTACAGAGAGTACACATCTTAACACACTTTTAAAAAATGCATTTTGTAATAATGCCACACTAAATGTTTTAAGTACATTTTAAATCATTGTTTTAAAAATGTTCTGTGGTGTTTTAGAAAAGAACAATTATTTTGATGTGCTTTCTTACATGCTATGTACATATTGGATTGTAATTTTAACTGTATTGTGTCTTTCAATAATACATCTTAAGTTAATATATCGTAAATATACCATATTGCAACTTCATTGTTACAAATGTGTAATTACAAGTATATTTTAAAAACATGAGATACAAGTTGCAATAGAAATGACATTAATGTATATTTTAGTTTGCCATTAATGCTGATCAGTACATTCAGCAGTTTTACCATATTTCAAAGACAACAGCAGTAATTATTTTATGTTAAAGTCTGTTTATATAGAACAGTGTACATGTTTTAATAACTGACTAGGATTTGTATTGTTTTTAGAAAATAGTGTTTTTTGTTGGTTCATTATGTGGTGATGTGTATTTTTTGTTTGTAAATTTGTCCTTTGCTGCCCATCTTGACCAGGACTCCCTGCTAGAAGAGATATAGTATCTCCTTCCTGGTTAAATAAGTTAAAAAAAACAATTACAGATACAAACTACATATAAAGATGCCCTACTTAAATCCTACTTAAGTGGGTCAAAAAAGCACTCTAAAGTTCAGCAAGTTCATCATTTCATTTAAATGTTGCTGTTTTTAGATTGTTTGGTAAAAAACAAGAGACCTTTTTTCACTAAATAACTGAACTCACAAAGCAGCACAATGCAGATGTCTGTTTGATCTAGATGTGTGTGTGTGTGTGTGTGAGTGTGTGTGTGTGTGTGTGTGTGTGCTGGAGGTACCGCTGTCCAAACATGAGGGTGGATTTGGTCTCGGCGTCGTTGTAGCTCGAGGGAGAGCAGCAGATGAACATAGTGGTCCTGCAGTTTCCTCCCAGAGAGTCCTGCAGGATTCGGGTCATCTTACTGTCGCGGTACGGCACGTGCGTCTTCTGCTCGCACAAACCAGGGACATTCGGCGTAAGCAAACACAAATATGCACGGTCATATATGAGTGCGCTTGCGAGCACTCACAGTTCCTTCAGCGAGAGCAGAGATGACGTTGCCCAGAGAAGACAGAGACTTATTGATGTTTTTAGCTTCATCCAGAACGGCTCCAGCTGCACCGGTCTTACTGACCTGCGTGTGAACATACACCATAAACAAGCTCAACAGCAACACTTCAGATATTAGGGAACACTATTCACTATTAACTAGTTCTTTATTAGCATGCATATTACTAGCATATTGGCTGTTTATTAGTGCATATTACAAAGTGCATATTAAATGCCTTATTCTGCATGAGCATATTTTAAATCCCTTAATCAGACCCCAAACCTAAACTTAACAACTACCTTACTAACTATTAATAAGAAGCAAATAAGGAGTTTATTGAGGCAAAACCCTTGGTTAACAGTGAATATGCGTTCCCTAATGTAAAATGTTGCCAGCTTAACTAATAATTTCTTACTGATTTTTGTCAAGCATCTGTCATTTCATTATGCAACTATGAAATATCATATCACTAGATGTGACATATGTATGTTGAGTATCTTTGGTGCAGCGGTGCTCCGTTTGTCCCAAATGCTTCGTCCACTATTGGGTGAGTGGAGTTCATGGTTGTGGGTTTATAACGGTTTCCCTTTCTATTATGTCAGTCACTATTAGTTTCTCAGTCAAATAATGACATGCATTACATTTAAACAAGGTGTCCTGTATGAATCAATAAAGAGTCTTCAGTTTTTGAACTAATGTTGTTCGTAACCCAGTGTTCTTAAAAATACTTTGTGTTCCACAGAAGAAAGAAAGTCGTGCAGGTTTGATAAAACAACATGATATGACAACTGGATACTTTATACAACAAAAGACAAAAGACCTTCTCACTGCCAGCTGAAATATCATATCACTAGATGTGACATATGTATGTTGAGTATCTTTGGTGCAGCGGTGCTCCGTTTGTCCCAAATGCTTCGTCCACTATTGGGTGAGTGGAGTTCATGGTTGTGGGTTTATAACTGTTTCCCTTTCTATTATGTCAGTCACTATTAGTTTCTCAGTCAAATAATGACATGCATTACATTTAAACAAGGTGTCCTGTATGAATCAATAAAGAGTCTTCAGTTTTTGAACTAATGTTGTTCGTAACCCAGTGTTCTTAAAAATCCTTTGTGTTCCACAGAAGAAAGAAAGTCGTGCAGGTTTGATAAAACAACATGATATGACAACTGGATACTTTATACAACAAAAGACAAAAGACCTTCTCACTGCCAGCCAGATCCACCAGGTAGAGCTTTCCACAGAGCTTCTGCTCCGTCTCCACGTGCTCCTGCTTGATGTTGATCAGGAAGATGCTGTGACTGCGAGAGCTGTGCTCATTCATATCTGACAACAGAACAGCGTCTCGTTTACAGCTCATTCTCAAATTACATTTCATGAAAATTCAGCTTTGTCATCAAATAAATTGCATTTTAAACTAGACAAGTAAAGTTTGTGAACAAACTTTGAAGTTGGCTTGAGAAAGCCTATTTGAAGTGGCTTAAAAACTTGTAGTTTGAAGGTGTTCAGTTAAAGAAGTCTGAAGTTTGAATAAAGAATAGTAGAGACAGAAATTTTAAGATGACAGATAGACAGATAGACAGATAGATAGATGCTAGGGTTCTCAGGGTGGTTTCTAGGGTGTTGCTATGCAGTTGCTAGGGTATTTTGTGTGGTTGCTAGGGTGTTGCTCTGCAGTTGCTAGGGTACTCGGGTTGGTTTCTAAGATGTTGCTATGCGGTTGCTAGGGTATTTTGTGTGGTTGCTAGTGCGGTTGCTATGGGACCCGGGATGGTTGCTAGGGTACTGCTATGCGGTTGCTAGGGTACTCAGGGTGGTTGGTTATATTTCATGAAAATTCAGCTTTGTCATCACAGAACTAAATTGCATTTTAAACTAGACAAGTAAAGTTTGTGAACAAACTTTGAAGTTGGCTTGAGAAAGCCTATTTGAAGTGGCTTAAAAGCTTGTAGTTTGAAGGTGTTCAGTAAAAGAAGTCTGACGTTTGAATAAAGAATAGTAGAGATAGACAGACAGAAATTTTAAGATGACAGATAGACAGATAGATAGATGCTAGGGTTCTTAGGGTGGTTTCTAGGATGTTGCTATGCGGTTGCTAGGGTATTTTGTGTGGTTGCTAGGGTGTTGCTATGCAGTTGCTAGGGTACTCGGGGTGGTTTCTAGGGTGTTGCTATGAGGTTGCTAGGGTATTTTGTGTGGTTACTATTGCAGTTGCTATGGTACCCCGGGTGGTTGCTAGGCTACTGCTATGCGGTTGCTAGGGTACTCAGGGTGGTTCATGAAAATTCAGCTTTGTCATCACAGAACTAAATTGCATTTTAAAATATATTTGAAACAGTTATTTTAAATACTGCATTTCCGCAGCCTTGCTGAGCATGAAACACTAAGAAACAAACAAGACAAACTTATAGCAAAAATTTGAAAGGTACAGTGGAGATCAAAATGAGAGAACAACCTACAATTTCCTAAATTTCAAGGTCACTGCTTAGAAGCATTTGAAGTAAAAGGGCAGTTTTCTAAGCATTTTTAATAAAATTATTGTATTCTGAAGCACAGTAGAAAAAACTTAGATGAGATATTTGAAAAAACGATCAAAGTTAGAGAACACTTACAGATCCCTCTAAGTTATTGCTGTTAATCAGGCACCTGGTGCTAAATTCGTTAATTATATGACAAACCCTGTTTTAACTGGCAGCATTCCTCTAATTTTCTCTGAGATTGCAGGATGGCGGGCCGCTCTAAAGTGACTGAAAGCCTGCGACAGGAGGCGGTCCAGATGAAGGCCACTGCAAAACGGGTAAAGCAGTTCCTTGAAGCTGAAAACATTGAAATAATGAAATGGCCGGCCCAGAGTCCTGATCTAAACCCGCCTGAAAATCTCTGGAAAATCCTTGGCGACAAAGTTCAGGCTAAGAAACCCACTACAGTCACTGAACAGTGGAAGAGGAGCGGCCCGAGATCACAGCAGCGCAGTGTGAGAAACTAGAGATGTGCTGAAGTCACTCAAAGCAGGAGCCTCTACACTTCCTACTCATTTCTGACAGCTGTAACCCGCCAAAATATTAGTTGCAGTCTTCTTTCGTGCTACAGCGGTTACTGTTCTCTAATTTTGATCACTGTGTTTTCCACAGAATAAAGGTTTTTGTTGAAATGCCTTGGTTATTTTGTCAAACTTGTCAGTAGAACGGAGGTATACATACCTACAGCTAATATTCCTTCAAATTTTGAGCGATGAAAATTAACACTATTTCAGTGTATATTTAACATATACATATATTTTACTCTTTTAATTGTTTAGATATTTATAATGCATTATCTTCTTGTTGATCCACCAGTTAACATTTACAACTCTTCGTGTTTGCTGCGTGAAAACATGTGTTGATTTTCACATCGTTCTGAACAAAACCAGCAGACAGACTTATTGAAAATGCTAATTCACTCTCTGCCAGCAGGAGGCGCTTTGGGAACAGCAGAAATACAGCGGTTTCTCCGGTAACAGCAGAACACAAAGCAGCAGCAGCTGACTCTGAAACGTGCAGCGCTCATATTTAATGAAATCATAAGCTTCTGAAGTTTAATCGTCACACTAAGCCATATGGCAATTCAGTTTTTTCCATCCCCAAATTGAAGGCCTCTCGAAATCGTAATTAAGACTTTCTTGTACCATCTAGGACTTTTTATGGCTTTAAATTTGATCAAACTAAATGTAAGACTTTTTAAAGACCCACCCGCGGAAACCCTGCATGACTGTGATGGTTTACACCATGTTACTGTGATTATAAATGACTGTTAAACACTTAACCTGAACTGTTAGTGTTTGAGTAAATGAAGTCCATCTGGATTTAAGAACAATGACAAAAGCACTCACTGGTGACAGCGACGTGCCGGTTGGACTTTCCCTCGTCGATGACGTCCATGACCTCTTCAGGACTGGACACGAAGCGCTCGGTGCAGCCCTGATGCCACACAAACACAAAACATTTATCCTGATTTATTCACATTCACGCAAAATACGCTGCTGGTGGTTGTGAAAAAGCACCTTCACGTAAGGGATGCGGTTCTTGTCCTCATGCACAGACAGGTTGGTCTTCGTGACTAAAGAGGAGAGAAACACAATGAGGAACATAAAAACCACTGTAATGAATTCGGTACGCTGCACTATTACTGTTTTCCACAAACCGTCCAGAAGATCCCGGATTTTCTCCATGTAGATCTCAAAGTAGGACACCTGAGAAAGTCAAAGACTGATTTTCAGAGCACCACACACTGGGCAGATGACTAGATGATGGATGTGCCACTGGTTTTGGCCTTTGCGTACCTTGATGTGGAACTCCAGGTTCTCGTCCATGGCGAAGATGTGGTTGAAGATGTCCTCTGCGATGCGGGGAATGATGCCCATCTGCTGCGGGTCGTGGAGGTTGCCCTGAAAGTGCGTTTAACAATTAAAATTCATCCTGGTCTAATCGAGCTGTGCGGCAGTGCTTCCACATAAACCAACGAGTCATGTGATAGTCAGGATAGCAAAATATATTCAGATTTTTTATTATATCTTATTATAGTTTATTATTTATTAGATACATTATGGTAGAAAGTAGCCAAGTTAGACAGAAAGACAAGTTCAGTTCCATCTTTGAAAACCGTAAACCGCACAAGGTAAAGCAGACACTGAATACAGACTCGAACGCATGCGTTATCTTGTGATTTGTGACCACAAAACCAGTCATAAGGGTCCATTTTTTTTTAAATTGAGATATATACATCATCTGAAGGCTGAATAAATAAGCTTTTATTGATGTATAGTTTGTTAGGATCGGACAATATTTGGCCGAGATACAACTATTTGAAAATCTGGAATCTGAGGGTGCAAAACAATCTAAATATTGAGAAAATCATCTTTAAAGTTGTCCAAATGAAGTTCTTAGCAATGCATATTACTAATCAAACATTAAGTTTTGATATATTTACGGTAGGAAATGTACAAAATATCTTCATGGAACATGATCTTTACTTAATATCCTGATTTTATGAAATATGATTTTTGGCATAAAAGAAAAATCAATAATTTTGTCCCATACAATGTATTGTTGGCTATTGCTGCAAATATCCCCCAGCGACTTAACACTGCTTTTGTGCTGCAGGGAAACTGGCCAATAATATCTGATGCTCATTTTAGTACAGGTACAGTGTGCACGGATGACATTGGTCGTCTGATGCATTGGTCATTTACAGTAAAGCAATATTTCAAAAGTATAAGCAATATTTCATCTAAAACATAAGTGCACCTCCATGGTGTGGGTCTTTCCAGAAGAGGTCTGTCCATAAGCGAAGATGGTGCCGTTGTAACCTCCCAGCACATCTACATCAAACACACACACACACACAGCCAAACATCAGAGCACTGATCTCCTCCGAGGAGCATCTGACTGTAATCAATACTGCTGAAGTCCAAAATATTAAATATGACGCGCTGTGATTTTTGGCATAAAAGAAAAATCAATAATTTTGTCCCATACAATGTATTGTTGGCTATTGCTGCAAATATCCCCCAGCGACTTAACACTGCTTTTGTGCTGCAGGGAAACTGGCCAATAATATCTGATGCTCATTTTAGTACAGGTACAGTGTGCACGGATGACATTGGTCGTCTGATGCATTGGTCATTTACAGTAAAGCAATATTTCAAAAGTATAAGCAATATTTCATCTAAAACATAAGTGCACCTCCATGGTGTGGGTCTTTCCAGAAGAGGTCTGTCCATAAGCGAAGATGGTGCCGTTGTAACCTCCCAGCACATCTACATCAAACACACACACACACACAGCCAAACATCATAGCACTGATCTCCTCCGAGGAGCATCTGACTGTAATCAATACTGCTGAAGTCCAAAATATTAAATATGACGCGCTGCATGCGCAGACAGGGCGTCACGCACTGACCTCTGACGATCTGCTTGGCGCAGGTGTTGTACACCTGCTCTTGGGTGGTGTTGGTGGGAAACACGCGGTCGAACGCGTACGGTTTTCCCTGCACACACAGAGCAAGAGAGGAGACATGAGGGGAAAGGAAACCTTATTGTTTGGTCACGTCACATACAAACTGTGTCATTCCCTTTAACTATACATGTACTTTTTTTCAAGCTTGATCAAAAACACCCTGCCCAACAGCTGTTTCACTTCAGCCATCATCAGCCACTCCCTGCATTCACACTCACTCACTCACTCACACACTCACTCTCACACTCACACTCACACACACACTCACACACACACACACACACACAC